TTTTTTTTTTTTTTTTTTTTTGCTACACGGTAGCACCTGCAATAACGAAGAAATTCTTCGCGAACGTTTGCAAATAATTCAATGAGAAGAAAGAAAAAAAAAAAAAATCGCTACGTTTTTAACGATGCTTGAAGAAAAGAAAAAGTTGAACTACGAAGCTAGAATTTATATTTAAAAAATTTAAAAAAAAAAAATTCGTGGAACTTCGTCTGAAAATGCTCTACGCCACGAAAAAACAACGACTGTTATCGGTAAATAAATAAATATTCATTTCTGTAATAACAAAACGAGTGGAATTTCAACGAATTTCTATAACCGCTTGCGGACCATAACGAGCGACCAACGATTCGTCGCTTTCCTTTTCATCTGGATAGAAATGATTGAAAAGGAAAATTCACAAGTTTATCATTTGTTTCGCCCAGTTTGTTTCACTTGAGTATACTTAAGCAAACTGAGAAACTATTACAATATTGTGAGACACGCAAGAGGTTAATTTTCGAAAAGAAAGATCTGTTACCATAGTGTATAACATTTCTTTGTTGAGAATCTTTGTCACAACTGGGGCAGCTGGGACGACGATGTTGCGAGAAAATCGTCCGATCATCGTCATTGACACGAATGATGGTAGACATTAATATCGAGTCGGCGAAACATACTCGTCCATGTAATTTCGTGCGTAATAAATTTTAACTGTCTGCTTGAATGTTATTCGAGCGTCGTTAATACGGGTACGGATTCGTTTAACGTCGTGGGGAATAAACGAAACAGGAAAAAAGGAATCGTCATTAATGCATCCAAATTACACACGCGTACCAACGCGAATAGCACGGGCGACTTTTAGGTTATGTTGCACGTACGGTGGAAAGGACGTATTAATTGCAGTAATAAAACGGCGTATCGAAGTTTCGAGCCAATCGATAGGCAAGGGTGCACGATGTTTATCAATAATCGCCAGCGAAACTTAATTGTGGAAGATTGCGCGGAGGAAAGTGAAAAACCGGCGGAATTTTAATGTAAACATAACCTGTACGCGGTTGTGTACAAACTGTACACAGGGTGATTCATGCAATGGCAGCAAACGATAGTTTTCTTTGTAATTAAAAATGTTGGAGAGAATAATGAAAATATAAAACATAACCTATATGTGGATAATTCGCGCAGTACAACTTTTTTTTTTGTAATTAGAAGCAAATATTAACGATAGAAGTTTCAAAATAGATATTATCTATTGAAAATGCATTAATGCAATTGCTATATTTCTTTCTTTGTATATACGTAATTATGCGTAACTATATAGTAAAGTATTACAAAAATGTATAACTATACAATAAAGTATACGACAAAAGTATTGAATGTGAATGTCTAAAAATTATTTGGTTTAGAGGATATTTTAACTTTAATTTTACATGCATAGATTTTGTATTAAATATAAATTTAAATATATATTGAATATAAATATAAATTAAAATTAAATTATCTCCTAAACTAATAATTTTTCGACCTATAATACCCTAATATTTTTCTTCGTGAAAAAGTTTGATATATATACAAAGAAAGTATATGTTTCTTAATATATATATATATATATAATTGCAAACTAATAATTTTTCGACCTATAATACCCTAATATTTTTCTTCGTGAAAAAGTTTGATGTATATGCAAAAAAAGTACATGTTTCTTAATATGTTTCTTAATTGCAAAATACGTGCATTGTTATATTTGCAAAGAAAATATGCTTGTCAATGTATCTACTATTGTTTCTTAACTTATAATTAACTTTATTTTGTATTCTTAACTTTATAACTTAACTAATATAAATATAAATTATTATATAAATATAAATTAAAATTAAATTATCTCTTAAACTAATAATTTTTCGACCTATAATACCCTAATATTTTCCTTCGTGAAAAAGTTTGATGTATATGCAAAGAAAGTACACGTTTCTTAAAATATATATATATATATATATAATTGCAAAATACGTGCATTGTTATATTCGCAAAGAAAATATGCTTGTCAATGTATCTACTATTGTTTCTTAACTTTAATTATATTAAAAGAAAGATATAACTTGTCACAGTTACGTGAATCACCCTGTATAGTTTTCTTAGCAATGGTTGCCGTTTCGTTAATACTACTGTTTCGACGATGTTTCACTTTTTTTTTTTTCGCAAGCGAGGAATACCGATTGTACGCTTTTCCCTCGTGCAATCGATTGCAAAACGTTTAAAACACGTCGGTTATTTCGAAAGGAAAGGTGAAACGTCATTAATTAAGAATGAAACACGCATGCAGATAGCATTCGAATTAATCCAATTGAAGATTGGCCGATAGTTTGTTGTAATATTTTTGTAATATTTGTTAAAATAATTTCTTCTTATAAAAATTTAATTAATTATAAATTTTGAAATGCATAAAATCCTAGTGAATTAATGATGAACTATTATTATAAAGAATGGTTCAAATGAAAAGTGAGTATGCGCGTTTCATTCTCTAAGTTTTCGAGATTGTAGTTATATTCTGTAAATAATAATTTTTCTGCGAACGAAACGCGTGGAAATTAGGGAGACGAAAATGACACGAGCCGTCTTGATAATTTTTAACACACCAAATCGATGCAACAATTTGGTAAAATTAACACAATGAGCATCGACAGTCTGGTGCGTTCTTTGTTCGATTTGAAAAAATCAGAAATCAAGCGGTGGCATTAACAACTTTCGGTGCAACTTTTGCATAATTCTGGGGAGAGGACAGATTGGTATATGCATAGTTTATGATGTGTATTTAATACTAAAATTACATCACATACACATAGTTCGACGAACTTTGCTAAAGTGGATCACGTTGTGGTTTTCTGGAAGCTTTACACAATATTACGTTTACCCATTTTTCAATTTTCCAGAACCTAAATAATGTATTACTTGTGCCCTAATTACATACATTTCTCTTGAACTATGGATCCAAAAAAATTACCTCGCGTAATCTAAAGAGCAGAGCTTTGCAAAATTAAATCTCTTGTGAAACGCACGTGATTTAAATGATTAAAAAAAAAATATAGATAGTTAGATAAGGATATAAGGAATTCCTAGAAATTGATACAAAGATTATCATCAAGTGATTAGCTCAAGTAGTTATATCGAGACCGGATGGGGATTTCAAGATATTATTTTATTGATTGACCTCTTGTTAAAAATTTTGACAGACAATTCAATAGATAGACGTTCGATAACCAATTTCATTCATTTCTATTTATTTACTATATTCTTTTTATTTACTATTATACATATTATACATATTATATTATTTACTATATTCTTTTTAATGTATTATTTATTTAATTAATAATAACATTATATTATTATATTAGTAAAATAATAATATAATAATTAATTATATTAATATAATAACAATATTATATTAATAATATTAAATTTATTTATTTAATTAATAATATTTTAATGTATTAATATATTTTGTATATTCGTTATTAGCTCTTACTTCCTGTGCTCTATTTAATTAATCTACTATAATAATGCAATTTTAATTACACGATAAATTATATAGTGGACTAATTATATATTGTACGATTAATTACACATTAAACTACACGATAAAGACTATTGGTGATCGTCATGTATAATATGTATATATAAAGTACAAATTAAAATGAAAAAGTTTATGATTTATATAAAATGCAAACATTGAAATTAAATAATTAAGTAAATCATTCATTTATAAAGTTTTCTTTGATAACAATAAAAATGATTAAATGAAATGATATGATGTAACATGATTGAATAACATAAAATATATGTAGCTGTCTATTTGTTTACTATATTTTTTTTAATGTATTACTTATTTAATTAATAATTAGTAAAATAATAATATAATAATTAATTATATTAATATAATAACAATATTATTAATAATATTAATGTAACATGATTAAATAAGATAAATTATATGTAGCTGTTACATATACTACTCAAGTTTCACTTGTTCCTGTCACAAGTCAACAAAAAAGATGAACACGCACGAATGTTGCTAAACCATTTGTCACAAATTGATCGAACATCCGGGCAATTATAACCGGTAAGAGATTAATTCCGCGGCAAGAAACGGCCCTGGCCGAGCACACCGATAAATAATTACGCAATCCACGTTGACAAACAGTAATTAAAGACGTCGTCAAGTGCGCGTATTTCTGGATCGTGAACTCGAGACACATGAATGATCAGCCGGAAGTGCGCAATACCTCTCGCAGTTAGCCGGCGTGCAAGGTTATCCTCTAACTGGCGCAATCATGCGCTCGTTTCGTTGGTTCGGCGCGCACCGGTTTATATTCAACGAGTACTTGGAACTGAATTTTATGATAATCGAGATGTTGAAGAACAGCTCTCTTTCAAGAATCTGTCGAACTGACAATTTTAATATAATTTAGTAAATCGCGTTGAATCAAATTAGAGCAATTGCTTCGATCAAGTATCACCTATACGTATTTGAGAAATATTTCATATGCGCCAATTTCTTAGTCACGTAAATGCTTGATTGTAAACGACCGCAA